TGTAAGTAGTCTGTCAGGGTGTTTGTGGGTATATTGTACCACTGTTCCTACACTACCTGAAAGTAGTCTGTCAGGGTGTTTGTAGGTATATTGTACCATTGTTCCTACAGTACCTGTAAGTAGTCTGTCAGGATGTTTGCAGGTATATTGTACCACTGTTCCTACAGTACATGTAAGTAGTCTGTCAGGGTGTTTGTGGGTATATTGTACCACTGTTCCTACAGTACCTGTAAGTAGTCTGTCAGGATGTTTGTAGGTATATTGTACTATTGTTCCTACAGTACCTGTAAGTGGTCTGTCAGGGTGTTTGTAGGTATATTGTACCACTGTTCCTACAGTACCTGTAAGTAGTCTGTCAGGGTGTTTGTAGGTATATTGTACCACTGTTCCTACAGTACATGTAAGTAGTCTGTCAGGGTGTTTGTAGGTATATTGTACCACTGTTCCTACAGTACATGTAAGTAGTCTGTCAGTGTGTTTGTGGGTATATTGTACCACTGTTCCTACAGTACCTGTAAGTAGTCTGTCAGTGTGTTTATAGGGATATTGTACCACTGTTCCTACAGTACCTGTAAGTAGTCTGTCAGGGTGTTTGTGGGTATATTGTACCACTGTTCCTACAGTACCTGTAACTAGTCTGTCAGGATGTTTGTGGGTATATTGTACCACTGTACCTATAGTACCTGTTAGTAGTCTGTCAGGGTGTTTGTAGGTATATTGATTGTACCACTGTTCGTACAGTACCTGTAGGTAGTCTGTTAGAGTGTTTGAAGGCGGTGCCCAAGAACTGTACTCTGTCCCATCACTACCGAAGTAGGGCTGCATATGCAGTCTGCCAACATATGCTGGACACACACTTGTCCCTGGAACCGACCAATCCCTTGATGAAGTCATAGAAGAGTTATCTACTCCGTATGGACCATTTACTAGGAACACATTCGTTGCACAACTCGGAACTACAAGATATAAATACCAATATGATTTGTCATGGTGTATAACAAAATTGACTTCAATAAAGTATGATATTACACATTATTATTGATGTAAAGCTATGAAAATCAGTATTCAACAATCTTTTAAAGAAAAGTATAATTAAGGTACGAGTTATCAATATTTAATGGTTCCTTATCTTTAAGTAATATTTTTGCAGAAAATGCTAATTGTATTTCTGTATTTCAGAAGGACATATGATATCTGCTATACGCTATATTACACTTAATATAGCTTCTAACATATCTTTTTCTTACTGGCATTAGTATTTTACAAAGCGTATACCACATACTTTGCAAAGTATGCAAAGTATCCGAAATTCCCATGGACGCGTGAAGCTATATATCATATTTATTGTACAGCAGAGCCTATTACAATAATTTGTTATTAAACAAAATCATAATGTGTGATTTATTAAAACTGTTTATGTAATACTCTTCTATAAATATTCATCGTTAGATGTATTTGTAAACTAGATAGGTGATGGTTTTATATCATGATACTGATAATGTTTTGGTTTTGACAAACTTTATTTGTATATTGCAATAAAGTGCTTGTTCTATTTATTGATATTGCCAACGTATGGAATCTACACGGTTATTGACTGTTCAACTTTCCCTTTGACATTGGTTATGCCGATGGACATTCCCGATTCCTTACTTATGGTATATTTTAGTTAAATGAACTGAAAACAGAATATATCGAGGACAATCGAATGTTGTACATCCTGTTTGCCATTGAGTCTGCTGAAATTATGATTGGTGTTCAAAACGTAACAAACGTCAATGACTTTGTCAGATTGACACAAATATGTACTTTCCTGGCCTATATCGAGTCAATGATCAGAAACACTGTGTGGGCAGAGAGCAGTCTAAACATCATAAATCCACGGCCTAATTTACACTGTTACCATTGACTGTTGACTTGTCTTATATATGTTTGCATGAATAAGTGAAATAAGTATCTGATAGCAAATACGACGGAATAGCAATCGATTCGTGGATGAAAGATTTACCAATTTTAGTTTATGACACTGATTTAAATAGTGTCCGTGTGGTAATCTACGTTATATTATTTACCAACATATATTACAAAAAAAACGTAAAACTAATTGTTATTTTACTTCACGTTAATATATTAAAGGTAAATATTTCTAAAAACATATTTGACAATTTTTGCTGCATTATTGGTTTTGTTACAAGAGGCTCAGATACCTGTTTCATTCATCATGACATTAAAACAATTATGACAAAATATTCTCATTAATAGTTGTATTACAAATATTCTCCATATTATAGGTTCTTCTTTATAGTAAAAAATTATCATGAAAGATCGAAGGATCCAGTGTTCGATACTGCTAGTATTAATGTGTTTGTCTATTCGTGAACAGCAAACGTATAGGTTTGAACAAAATGGGTATATGGAGGGAATCTCAACTGTTTCGATGTAATAATCCAATCGGGCGATGCTAAGCTATAGAACTAATAAGTCAACTGATGTTAGTGCCCAGAGATTATCCCGAGGGAGTTGGTTGTTTTTATAAATAAATATATTGCAGAATATTCACATAGTTTTCGGTTTGGGATTTCGTCCGAACCAAAATATGATGGAGGGATAACTTCACACGGTGAGTCTTGACCTTGGAGCCAATCCTGTGCCCGTATTCATGGAACCGTTCTCACGCTCAAGCATCGGTTTTGTGCTCACACCAACTTTCTCGTAGCTCACTATAATCATGTCAAACGATCAAATAGTCAAATGAAAACATTGAAAACAGTATTCAGCTTTAAGTCTCCTCAAAGTTTTTTCAAATCATCGACAAAATAAAGATTTTATTATCAAGTTATAACCGCAACAAGAAATTAGACTTGAGCACAAAATCCATGCTTGAGCATGAGAACGGTTTCATGAATACAGGCCCTGGTAGCTTGGATATATGTAGTCGTCTTTTAAGTCAGAATGTGGTTATATGGTGGGGATCTGGATAACGTTTTAAGTATATCGTTTAGTGGCCACCCCTCCAGCGGTCACACAAAATTATGTTTATCCAAATATTCACCAGAAATACGAAATAAGGAAGCACCTATTTGAAACTTAGCATGCCAATCCAGAGAGGTCAACAAAACAAACTTAATATGTCACTCCAGAGGGCTAAACAAAACAAACCTAGCATGTCAATCCAGAGAGCTAAATAAAACAAACTTAGCATGCCAATCCAGAGAGGTCAACAAAACAAACTTAACATGTCACTCCAGAAAGCTAAACAAAACGAACTTCGCATGTCAATCCAGAGAGGTTAACAAAACGAACTTAGCATGTCACTCCAGGGAGGTAAACAAAACAAACTTAGCATGTCAATCCAGGAAGGTAAACAAAACAAACTTAGCATGTCACTCCAGGGAGGTAAACAAAACAAACTCCTTTAATTCACTACATCATATGACCAGTGGCACTGCTACAACCGTGTACGAGGAGCAGGATTACATAACAATATGCTATACAACATTAAGCCGTTTTGACCCATATTAACTCCAAATCAGATTTCGTTGAAATTTCTTTATCCGCATGGAATGGGAAAGGCTTTAAAGTTGTACCCCCAGTTGCCCTATTAGGCCCAATGTTTCTGCCCTCGGTGAGGGGGTACAATCGGTTCATGCTCAGACTGCGAATTCCACACAGCCATTCTGCACTAGTAGCGGTTAAAAGAAAAAGGTGACGAACGGATGACTGTCGCTTCACCAGAGCATAACTGTTATAACCCATCGGAGTCAAAAGCAATTATTATTTTGAAATAATTTGGAAAAGGAAAAGAATTTGAGTTAGATCACCAAATAAGTCATAAACATCAGAAAATACTTCGTAAACGTGACAAAGACAGCCCACGGTGATATATAACGTAGATTAAAATACTTAATTCATCATACACAAAAATGCTGGTTATCAAAATATCTTACTCTTACGTCACACAATATGAGAATCTGGTTTTATTATAATACTAATAGGAAATATGCTGCGATAGTCATATTTAAAACAAACAAAAAAGAGACAATATTATCTACACAACAGAAAGTGGTACCATACCAAATCTCTATAGACTGGTTGTTGGAAGTGATTTCCAATACAAAGTAAAGGAACTGCATAGAAGTTCATGTAAATGTTGCTTGTGGCCCTAATTCATAATCAATATGAATGACTACCTGGAACGACAAAATCCATTAAGCTCGCAAGCACATCATGTTAAATAAGTGAATGAGGGGAATTGAACTGGGTCGACTGTCGGCAACCAGGTAGCTCAATTGGAAGAGCGTCCGTCTAGAATACTGACGATGGCGTCAACATTAGGGCAATCATATCAACGACTGATACGCTTCTCATATCTGATAGTGAAATATTAAATTTCGTATGAGTTGTTCAAAATGAGGAAGATAGAACAGCCTATAGCCTATATCGGCAAGCTATCGTCAAATATTTGATAGTGACGTCAATGGTGTCACGATAATCACATCACAGTAGTTCCTAGCTGAATCGCGTAGGTTCTTCTAGTAGCAATATAAAGCAAAAGTTTGTTATATTTTAATAAGCACCAATCTCAAGTCACCATTTCATCATTTCTCAGCTATTGCAAAACGTTCACGTTACGAATCTTTGTTTGGCAAAGCATGTCATATTGTACATTTTGTTTGTGTTTGGTTAATGGTCCTAGCAACAGCCAGGGACATATGAGGACAGGTGACTAGGGAGACAAAACAGGCAGGGACATATGAGGGCAGGAGACTAGGGAGACACAACAGCCAGGGACATATGAGGGCAGGAGACTAGGGAGACACAACAGCCAGGGACATATGAGGGCAGGTGACTAGGGAGACACAACAGTCAGGGACATATGAGGACAGGTGACTAGGGATACACAACAGCCAGGGACATATGAGGGCAGGTGACTAGGGAGACACCGCCAGAAAGAGAAGTAGATCGATATACTAAGTATGCTTCATTTAAGGTCACTGGAATTGTACCCGTCATATTTTCGTAACATATGACAAGAGATCCCAGAGGGATCTTGGCGCCCACCATTTACCATCTTCATTAGTTCTTTGTCAGTTCAATCTTTTCTCTTCTTTCCTCTAATCTGTTTGATCGAGTCATGTTAACAGTAAATTCACATCGAGGTAACTTTTGATCTTAACTTAATACTGATGTGTATGAAGGCCAACCTTCAAAGTGAGTTTGTCATTTCACATATTTACTAGTACAGTACTTAATGTGAAAGAAATAGAATCGATCATTGCAATATGAGAAAGACCTGTTTAGTTCTTCTTTTAATCCATTTTGTTTTTATGATCAGTCTCAAAATATAACATGCACAACGAGGGATCAAGGGGAACCTACATATAAAATTTGATAAAGATCCCTCCCTACTTTCCGAGAAATAGCGATAACAAACTTTCAATATCAAAATCCAAGATGGCTGCCTGTCAGCTATGTTGTTTATCCGATCAGTCTCAAAAGTTGCCCTGCACAGCTTAGGACCAAGGGGAACCTTCATATAAAATTTGAGAAAGATCACTCTGGTACTTCTTAAGAAATACCGATAACAAAATTGTTTAAGGACGGACGACGGACCCCGGACGGACGACGGACCAAGGACGCAGGGTGATTTGAATAGCCCACCATCAGATGATGGTAGGCTAAAAATTCATAATAGGTAAGTATTTAATGTATTACTATTCGTGTTCTTGCGCACCGATGTTTATTGGCATTAACTGACAACAGAAAAACGCCCAAACAACTATATCTGACTCCTCTCAGTTGTATTCAGCTTAGCCGATAATCCTTTCTACTTATACATTCCACATTATCGCATAAATAGCAACCATTATCAACAATCGGTCCTATACGACACACATTTCTGTCCGTTCCAATAGCCTATACAATCAGTTGTTGTTTAGGAATAGTTTACATTTACAAATAACTGTCTCTATTATGACTCGCACACCTGCTAATATTTTCGTGTAAGCGAGTAACACAACATACGTATCTGTAACATTCTGTGATTTTTTTCTCTCTAATCTGAAATGGTAGATCAGTTTAAGTATAAAAGAGATCGAGATTTAAAATTATTTCTTGATCACTCACCAGTCGCATCACATCCCAGAATGTCGATGCGTAAACAGACCGACACGGACCACGACTGTGGAACTACCCGGATGTATTTAGTGGCCACAGGAGCGGGGAGATTGTTCGTTACTACAGTTTCTCGGTCAGTATTTCCTGGAAATACCTACAATTAATCAAACACAATTTACACAATGTATCGTTACTTAATATGTTGTCATGTCTACAAGCTGGCCATAACACCAAATTATATGCATGCAAAAATGTACGGTTGACTGCATACAGAGATACATAGTGAACGCGTGTAATACGTGAGGAGTTAAATCTTAGCTACATCTCAAAACACAGACATTGATTTGGTTCTCGTAAAGGATTAATTCAACTAAAGGAAGATATTTCATTAAAACGTTTGATTTGAACCACCTTGAATAAAGTTTTCGTATTCCGTATATATCCCAATTTAACCCGTGATGTACAACGCGGAAAAATTCAAAACAGAATGGAAATTTTCATTATGATACTCATACAAAATGTTTTACACTTAAATGCTTTCGGATTGGTGCGTGATTGACGGGTGATAGAAATGAAGGAAAACATCAACACCGAACTACAACCAATAATCGTATTTTGAACTCAAAACCCATGAAGCTAGTACAAGTAATGAATAATTACCAAGGACCTTTAGTTATAAAGATAATAAGACCATGCGTTTCGGAAAGGTTAGCGTCTGTGTGTTATGCTTCATCGAGGACACCTGTCGGCTGCCACATACAGAAAAGATTAAAATAAGACAGACGCATGAGACAGATGTAAAACGATTACTAGAAACTCGAAGTTAGGAGACCTGAACTAAGTCAATATTTTAATGTTCTATATATGGTTATTTCGTCCTATAGGACTCATCCGTGGTTCAAAATGTCAACAGCATGGAACACATGACATGAAATATATGTAGAATGAATCGAATAAAGGAAATGAGTCTCATTACCTTGAAAAACGTTTTGGTTACAAAAGATACTACAGAAGTTTGTTATCAAAAAGAGCATTTCGTGATATCTGTGCCAGAACAAACTTTAAGGTACAGCTAACCTCGGGAACAGGTAGCCATACCAGCAATGTCAGTCATCCTGTTACATAGGACAATAACTAGAAAAACGAAGCAGAAGTTAAAATAAATATTCTACTGAACCAAATGGCTTATAAAGGTAATATCCCAGCTATGTCAAGCTGTCAAAGAGAGAACCAGGGAACTGACACTATACCAACAACCTACACTAATGTCCACACACTATACCAACAACCTACACTAATGTCCACACACTATACCAACAACCTACACT